ATAACTCCAAAAATTTCGATGTGTTTTTTTTATGTTGTCTAAGTACTGATAAAAGTTCAGAATTCATTCTCAAATTATAAAGTTGAACGTTCATTTTTCTTAAAAAAAATTGCTACCCACTAAAGACAATTCTTATTTTCCCTCCTATCTCTCAATTAACTTCGGAATCATATTTTAAAATAAATTAAACTTATATAATGCATTTTTCAGAATAAAATCTTCAGAATTCTTCAATTTATCCAAAAAATGTAATCATTTATTCAGAATTTGTATATAAAAATTCTTTTTTAATATATTACAAAGGAGTTATTTTAATGGATTTTACCATTATTTCTAGTTGTCAATATATTTAGTTTTTTTCTTCTTCCAATAATTTATTTGGACAATTTTTTTTGCTATTCTTATCCTCATAATATTTTCTCAAACTGGTTCATTGTCCTGCAATAGCAGCTGATTGCATGTAAGAAAATTCACTGGGTTCACTTCCTAAACGAAGACCTAATTTCTTTCCAATGGCATCCCAATCTGGAGTATTTGCAAATTGTTCAGATAATGAAGTCAATAATAACTCTTGAACAAATAAACTACGATCAGCACTTTCTATTTCCAAATTCTGCTGTTCACTTTCGGAAAGAGAAGGATCCATACATCTAGATAATAGAAATTGTGATGATGCAGAAGAAGCTATTGCAGGAGAAGGCGTGGGCTCTAGGACAATAGTGCAATGTGAAAGAACAGCGCCACTGCTACCAGCAACTGCTCCACCAGAAGAGGCACCTGAGTTTCCAGTAACCATTCCGCTTCCAATTTGAGATTGTCTCCGTGGGAGACGGTCTAACTGTTGCCGAGCTGCCTGAGCTTGTTGGCGTTCTAACTGTAACTGCATCTGGAGTTGCTGAAGTTGTGTAGTGGTGGTGGATGCAGTTGATGACTGAGCAAGATTGGATGTTCGTCTCACTCCAGACAGTTGAGAAAGCAATTCTGCTATAGGATCCATTGATTCCCGACTGCCTGGAGAGAGAGAAGATAAGCCACTTGAAGTAAACTGCATTTGCGACCTACGTGGTCGAGCACTACTCATGCCCCTACCAGGATGAGGTATTCGACGAACTTGACGAGAACTAGAGGAATCATCTAAATCTCTTGGAGTTCGGTGCTCTAATGTCAAATGGGCTGCAAAATCATCAGTAACGTTATTTGGTTCTCCACCTGGAAGAGCTGCACAAACAGGACATACCACTTCAAATGATGTATCTGGATGCTCCGATGTTACATGCTCATGTAATGTAGTCTCTGTGAAACCAGTCTTTCCACAAAATGGACAAGTATATGCCTGAGGCTGATCAACAGATATTGCTTCTCCACCATAGTACAAATCAAAATCAGCTCTAGTTAAAATGCATTGCATTGGATGTTCTGTAGTATGTCGAGTTGTGGTAGCTCCTGCTTCGTAACAAGTAGCACATAAGTCATAGTCATAACATATCAGGCATTTGTAACGTTTTCCTCTGAAGTTGCCTTTCCGACAGGAATCACAGCTAACACCTTCATGACGGGACATCGCAGTTGCTGATGCTGACGCCTCCAAATATTTTATATATTGTTGCAAGTATATTCAAATAAAGCTTAAAGAAGCTTTAATTCGACATTACAAAATCGTTTCACAATTCATTTTAAATTGATTTTAAATTGTAAACGTTCTAGAAAATTGATCAAATTGAAAACAGTTTGTTTGATTCTCAGCAGTAGGTATTATATAAGAATTACTATGGTTGTTGAAATATTGAATATAAATGGAGTTACTTTTTTAAGCAGTGAAAAACTTGAAACTAGGTAGAATATGAGTAACTCAAACAGCAGATGACTTATTCAATGTATGATTATAATGATTGATTGGTTTTAGATACTGGTACGCAACACGTGAGCAATCTGCTAATTGGAAAATGTGCATTTTGGAAAATTTTTTAAGGGAAACTGGCCCTTATTCAGACATTATAGACATGAAGAAAACCCGGAAAACTTCATGAGTCACTTGTCAACCCAAGCTAACTACCAGTGTTAAAGATCAAATCCGTTTAGCTATTGATACAGCAGGGGTATAGGATGGAAAACGATGCACCAGTAGATTTACGTAAAAAATTATTTTGCAGCTATCTTGACTGGAATTTGATCCCGGATCCTTCATGGCGACAGTCTGGCCAGCTTTCAATGTGTGAGAAAAAGAATTTCTTTGAAATGGGTTCTTGAAAGTTTTGCCATGTTACTGAAGCAAGAACACAAAATGCAGGGATAAAAATAAAAAGCTTATGGTATCGATTTGAAGGGCCACACTTATCTTTATCAAAGAGAAACTCCCAAGAAAAAATTTGACTCTTCGGGTGCCATAATTTTTACTATACGCAATATTTTTTCATCTCAGATGATTTTCTGTAGATATCATTTGCTTTTTTACTAATTTTTTCACTGCCTTTCTATTGGTTGAGAGTTATTTATGACTATTATTGCCTCTAAAACATAATTTGGTCTTGTTTGTTTGTTCAGTTATGGCAACGCAACACTTGGGTGATCTGCCTAGGGGATGCCTTCCGGGAGGTCTTTTTAAGAGAAACTGGTCCCTATTTAGGCATTACAGACATGGAGAAATATAGAAAACTCCACGTGGCCAGCCCGTCCGCATGAGGCACAAACCCATAACCAAACTCCCAGTGTTCAGGAAATGAAGACCACTTGGCCACTGGTGGGCCACAAATTTGGTCTTAAAATAGTCGATAGAAAAGCAATGAAAAATTAAAACAAAGATCAGAATATAACTGCAACAAACAGAGAGGAAGAGAAAATTGCAAAATGTAATTAATAGAACTGTTCCCTTTTTTTACTCACTGGCTTAAGTTCTAGGGGTATTATTTTATGCATCAATTCAAGATGACTATTATTTTTTCCAAATTTGTATTTTAAAATTCTACTATATACTTTAATCAACCAACAGCAGGAAATTCTCATAGTAGCCCTAGTCCCTGAACAGTACATCATACGTTTTCTTTAACAACAGTTGTGCAGGTTATCTATTAACTGCTTTCAGGGGAAAATTTTTGAATTGAAATAACATGACTTCCGGTTTGCATTGTAAGTTCATAAATAGTTAATCGGGAGACTCCTGCCCCTAAGGTTTCCATATCTGATTTCATCTAACTCCATTCTCGAGATTACAGAAAGACAGATAAGCAGACAGCAGACAGACAGATGGACGACAGTGGAATTTATAGGTCTACAATTTTTTCAAATTGCAGTCCAATTAAAACAAAAAAAGTATAAAAGTTCTTTGAAAGATTGTTTTCAAAGAACTGCTTTTCTTTGATGGGCTTTATTAACTGCTTCTGATATACAATAATTAACGATGGTACGATGTTCCAAAACATTTCCTTTTCCCAAGTAGGAAATAACTCTTAACTTAAAACAACACATACTTTGTAAGTCTTAACCATATATATATTTTATCAATATTAACAATAAATAAGTAAATTAATAATATCTACCAAATTGTATGCTTGCAAAGCATGCCAAAAAATTTCTATTGCCGAGTTGTTGTGTACCCATTGGAATAATCTCTTGAAATTTTTTTTTCATTAAAATTAACCCTATTATATTTTTTAGCAATTAAGTACTAATTTTATTTTTTTTTGGTATTCTTGATTACAATCTTAATAAATAAACTTTTAAACAGTTGTATATTGATAATGTGAAGTAAGTATATTTTGAAGGTATCTATAAACATGAATTATTTTCAATAATTTTACAATAATCATAATTTAAAAATTTTATAAATAATTTCTTGAAGAAAATGAAAAAACTTAGTTTATTGTATGACAAAAGTTTCAATTTACTACCATATTTATAGTTTTAATAATTTAATTTATTACTTATAATGTCTTATCATTTAATGAGAAATTTAATAAAAAAAAAACTCATATTATATAAAATTTTGTTGAACATAAAATATCTATATTCTATTAAGAGATAAAGATTATAATTATCAGAATTTATAGCACAACAAAATAAATATTTTAACTTCAGAAAATACAAAAACTGATGTGTCTGTAATTTCTGAATTACTGATAAAATTCTAAAAATCATATATCCGATAACTAACAGACATTTACAAATTGCCAATATTTATTTTATAAACCTGTTAAATTAAAAAACTGAAATATGTGGATTTACATTTAATGTAATTAAAAATACTAAAACATGTACCTCTTTAAAATACAAAATAAAATAATAAATTTTTTTACAAAATTCTTTAACAACAAAAATCATTCAATGATGATAAACATGAGAATTTGTGATCTATTATCCACTATTTTTCACATTATTGTTGTTATTAAAATATGAATCTGAAAGTTTGCATATAGATCACTATGTAAAATTAATATTAATTTTTGTCCTAGGAAAGTATTTTAAAGTGTAATAATAAATTATATCAACAATGGAATAAATATCCTTGCTTATAAATTTTATCCAAGTAATAAAATTAAAAGAAATTTTAAAGGGGGAACTTAAAAGAAACTTTATTTGACTTTTTAGTAAAATTTAATATTGCTTGCATCCTTAACGAGAATAGTTCAAATAATTAAAATGGTTTAAATTATTAAAAGAAAATTCCTTATCTTTCATTTCTGCTATGATATTTATAAATGAAATGAAAGAAATTAATCAATTCATATCAAGCTTTATAATTTATAAAATTTTCCAAAAGTATTACTTTATAAAAGAAATATATATTAGAACAATGTTCTGTAAAATTTAGATAGCAATTTAACTCATTTTTTTAGTTTTAATCATCCAATAATAGCATTGTGTAAACTTTAGTTACTTCAAGAGATTTTTTTCGTTTTATCATTTTATTATTTTTTGCTAGTAACCAACAAAACCTTTCTTGCAATTTCTTGTATTCACAATTCATAGTTAGCTTATCATTCCTTTAGAGTAGGCCCCATAATTAATCTAACTGGGTTCAAAGTAATAAATTGGGTTTTTTTCTGATGTACTTTGAGATGACATAATAATATCCTAGTTTTCATCATATTTGTCACACAGCTTTAAAAATTCCTATATTTAATATTGATAATCCTACAAACACACACACACACCCACTCCACATTGCTCTCTCTCTGTAATGTGTTACATAACCAAACTGTTTGATATAAAAATTATTTTCATATAATTAGTAGTCAAAGAAACTAAACTAGTTCAAAAGTAATGTTTATATTAATTAATGAAGGCTGTGGAAATTTAAAAAGATAACAATAATATGCATTTTTATTCTTAACTATTACACAGAGGTTTATTAGTCAAA